GGGGGGGGGGGGGGGATGGAGACTGGACTAGGAAACCCGGGACCAGTGGGGAGTGGAGGGAAGGGAGGAGACAGCTGAGGGCAGGTGTGGGAGACAAGCCAGAGGACAAGGTGGAAGCAGGGCAGGAGCAGGCTGTGGGAGAGGCCAGGCAGGTAGGGGTGCAGATACCTCCTCCCAGACAGTGTTACAGCGTGGGGGAGGGGACCGCTGGGGGGACAGGCTCTGCCCTTGGGCCGGGTACCCCTCCCCCTCAGCCCCGCCTGCCCGCCTGCTCTGGGCCTGCAGCGCAAGGCTCACCGTTATCTGAATTTTGATTTTATTTTATTTTATTTCCCTGCTTCCTAGAGCCGGCGCGGTCCCCCCGGGAACGGCGCCCCCCGCCCCCCACCCCGCGCCTCACTTTATTATTGCAATAAATGTGCCTATAAAGGCGCGGGCTCGGGGCGCCGCGCGTGGGGGGGCGGGAGCCGCGGAGCGGGGATGTAATTTCCCGAAGCCGGAGCCGGAGGGGGAGTGGGCGGGGTGGAGGGGGAGGAGGGGGAGGCGAGGGAGGAGGAGGCTCGCCAATTTCCAGCACTCCAGGCTGCGCTCCCTGCTCCCCAGCCCGCCCTGAGGTCGCTCCCACCCCACGTCCTGAAACTCCCCACTACTCCCCAAAACGCTTGAGTCCTGGGACCCCTCCCACATGACCCACCGTCTCTCTGTTATCTGCCCTGCCCACTCCTGGACCGCAACCGTGGGGAGTTGCAGGGCTCTGTCCAAAGTTCCCCATCTCCTTGCCCAAGACTGCATCTCGGACCCCTGCGGCGACCTCTCCACTGACCTGGTCTCTTTCAATGTTATCTCACCCCCTCCCGGTGACCCAGTCTCTGACCCTAGGGGTCCTCCTTACCTTGCTTCTGTCCCTCAGTTACTTCACCTCTTCTCCACGCGCCCTGTCCTGGGTCTCCACCTCCTCCCCTGTGCCCACCTGAGATCCTCCAAATTCTTTCCAGCGGGTACCCCTCCCATGCTCACAGGCTTCGGCCAAAGGGAGGCTAAAGGGAGCTGTCACAGCAATCCCCTCTCCTGTGCCCCTGGCCCAGCTGCAGCCCTGATTACCCCCAAATCCCCACCCACAGCGCTGGGCCCAGCCTCGGCTGCACGTGCCTAAGTGGCCCAGCCAGAGATTAGCTGGGGGGCTAGAGAGGGTTATGGGAGCGGGAGGGTAAGCCAGACGTGTGGCTGGGGCCAGCTGGCTCAGAGACTCGGTTGGGCTTAATCATCCCCCAGGCAGAATAGAGCTGCAAGGTCCCCCAGGGCCCCACCCCTGCCCTCCCCCAGCTAATTAGTAATTAGTGATTAGTGATTAGTAACTATTGATCGCCTGCTGCTTCTCCCAGTAGACAGATGCTTTGGCAAGGAGTGGGGCAGACAGAGACCGAGAGGGAGAGAAGGAGTCGGAGACCTGGAGACCGGACCACATTAGAAAGATCCTGAAGGCCTGGCCAGAGGGCAGGGCTCAGGGTCAGCGGAAGCCAGGAGTCCCAGGTCCTGAGAGGAGACCAGGATTCTGGAGCAAAGAGGAAGGAGGAGGCTCCTGCAGGGCAGGTGGACAGGTTGGGAAGACGGCTTGTGAGCGTGGACAGTGAAGGCTTCCCAAAGAGCTGTCCTGTAAACTGTCCCCCCAGCCTCTTACCCAGTGTCAGCCCACTGCCAGCCCCGGCACCGGCACCGAGACAGCCCTGCCCGCGCGCGCGCGCGCACACACACACACACACACACACACACACACAAGCTCCACTCAGATACATGAACTCATCCTGAGGCTTACAGCCCAGTGCCCACACTCAAAGCCACAAACACGCAGATCCACACTCACAAACCCTGGACATGCACACAGACCACACACAGGCTGCAGCACACAGGTGCACTGGAGAGCCACCCCGGGGTGCACATGTGTGCACAAGCCATACTCACAAGTGCACACAAGTACACACAGATCGGTCCTCGGGCACACAAACACTTCCCATGCACAGTGAGAAATGTCCTCACACCTTCAGTCTGTAGACACAGGTAACCCCCTCCTCACACACAAATAAGCTGGACTGAATGGCAGGTACACACTTCCCCACTGACTCCAACACAAAGACCCACAGCTGCAGCTCGCACACACTCAGCCAGATCCCCGTCGCTCACACCCTCATGCTTACTCTCTGTCAACTCTCCACCAGATGTTTCATTCCCCTTCAGGGGGCAAAGGAAATTAAACCAGATCTGTCCACGGGGGAGTTTATGTGACGGGGAGAGGGGAGAGGGAGGAAGTTGAGAGGAGGAGCAGGCGAGTACCATCCCTCCCTCCTCTCCCCCAGGCCAGGCCTTCACAAACAGTGGGTTAGGGGGCACAGACCCCCCTGCAGTCCTCCAAGGGCAGAGCTGGGCAGCAGGTGCAAAGGAAGTCCCCGCTAGTGGAAGCAGCTTCTGTGGAGGGGGCTCCTCGGCCCGCCTTCCAGCCCCTCAAGGTCACCAGGCTGGTTTGGGAGAATCAGGAAGCTCAATCGCCAGCTCCACTGGGCAGCCCCTGCCCTGCGGGAGCAGCCGAGTGTGATTTGGCCCAGCAGGTGGGGGTCCAAGTGTTGGGGGCAGAACTACACCACTTCACACGCTTCAGGGGCTGGGGGTTGGGTGCAGGGAGTAGGGGTTTAGGAAGCCCCCTGCCTGCCCCCAGAGTGGCTGGGTCACAGTGGGAGTGCGGGGGATAGAAGTGGTGGGCAGGGGAGCTGATTGAAGGAGACCGGACCAGGGCCTAGGCGCCCACCGTGGGACACCCAGCGGGGCACAGACGGCTGCGCTGTGAAGCAGGCACTTGCCCTCACCCCTTCAAAGCCAGCACCACACACCACTCCAGCGTACACACGCACCCGGGTCCCCAGCCCTAGACACCCACGCCTGGCTGCCCCCACACACAGGTACACAGTGCACACGCTGCCCCACACTCCACACGCACAGAGGCGCACACCGCTGAAGCCTCCGAGTCAGGGGGAGGCAGGTCAAGTCGGGGCTCCCTTAGCCTCGGAGTCCTCGCCCAGGAGCCCGGGGGAAGAGGCAGCTGAGGGAGGGGGGCAT